AAAATATGAACAGAGAATATGATCTTAATTAATGTAAGAAATTAAGAAAAAAATAGTATATATGTGAATAAATAAGGTAGAAGGTAAGGAGACATGATTAGGAAGAGAGAATAACATCAAATAATTTATGAATCGGCTAGTTAATGTATTATGTAAAATTATAAACTTATAATGATATATCATTAAATGAGTATATGATAGTATTAAATAGATAGATGCATACAATATCATGAATAGCTCTTAAATAAAAATAATTAATTATATAATAATGTATCTTATTATATAATTACAATGTCATGAGGTTATAATTATATCATTTTCGGTTATTAATATAAAGAGATAATAGATAGAGATTATTGACAAATAATTTAAGATATATTTATAGTTTTTTATTATTATTATAAAAATTTTAAAAAATATGAATGAATTGCGCAAAATGCAGATTGAGTTCTAGATAAAATTTCATATTTATTTATAACTAAGCATTACTTAAATAAGTGTTCATCTTTAATATTTTTATTTATTAACTTTTTAAATAAGGTTAAAATAAAATAAATGCATTAAATAATATTTTATAAAAAAAAATAAACAATTAAATTTAAACACAATAATTTAAAAATTAGTTCTATTAAAGTTAAAAATAGTAATTGACTAGACTTTAACTCTGCAGTTAATGGGGCAGGCTTTAAAGGCTATTGCTGGAATTTTACTCGTCAAAACTCAAGTCGTTATATTGACTTGAGTCAACAACTGATTTTTTGGGCTAATGTCAACAACTAATTTTATAAAGAAAAAATAGATAATTAAATTTAAACGCTTTAATTTAAAAATTAGTTCAAAGTTGAAAGTAGTAATTAACTAGACTTTAACTCTGCAGTTAATAGGGCAGGCTTCAAAGGTTATTGCTGGAATTTTACTCGTCAAAACTCAATTCGTTATATTGACTTGAGTCAACAACTGATTTTTTGGGCTAAGGTCAACAACTATTTTTTTTTTTTTCCACATAAAACCGTGTTTGGAAGCAACTTTTCTAAAATAACTACTTTGAGTCTTGACCTTGACTCGATCAACTACAGCCAGGAAAGAAAGCAGAGGTCTGGGGAAGCAATGGGGATTAATTTCATGATGTGGAATAGTCAATACTTTAACCTTTCAAAATGCATTGCACAATGCATGTATCATTGCCCTGCATAAGTGTGGGGACAATGCTAAAGAAACAAAAAAAAAAAAGGAATAATATGGACAAACTAATGACTTTAATTATAAGCCCATATTTGTGGTTTGGTAGCAGTCAACACAACTTAAGAAATATTAATTATATTTGGTTTGGTTGATTTTTTCAGTTTATATATTTTTTTTCTTGGTACAACTGGTAAAAAGGTATAATAATATCAACATATAGATTGATTTCAAACTATTAATTAACTACTAATCAACGTAACTATTAATTAACTACTAATAGCTATCAATTATTCTATTATCTATCAACTAATAACTATCAACTGTTCCTAATCAACAGTCCATATAACAAAACAGAGCCATTGTCTTTAATTCACCGTATTCTATGCTCCAGCTCCAAAGATATAAATCCTTGTTCGCTAGCTCCTATATAATCCATAGCTAGCAATTTTATGTCCATTTCCGAGAACCAATTTGTGAGTAAAATGGAAGCTGGGAAAACACAGGTCTTTAAACCATGGGCGGTCTTCATTCTAGCAATCCTCATGGCTGGATTGTGCGCGGGACATGATAAACATATCGAACCAAGAAAGCTCGCTAGTACTACTGACAGACCAGGTAAATAAATCAAAACTTGTATATACCAATTTATAGCTGATAGTGGATAATAATTTTAAATAGTATAACTTGGTTAATTAGTTTAATTTTTATTCTTTTAATTGGAGTTCCAAAATGATGTTTAATTATAATTAACATAATCTTAATTTGTATGGAGTGAAGGTTCAATAAGCATTGATTGTGGGGTGAGTGAAGATTATCTTGATGAACAAAGTGGAATACATTACAAGTCAGATTCGAATTTCGTTACAGCTGGAGAGAATAAACAGGTACTCCCGCGATACATACTCACACATCCTCAACTCGGTAAGATGCTTAACACCTTGAGAAGTTTTCCAAATGGAAAGAAGAACTGTTACAACCTTAAGCCTGAAATGGGCAAAGGCTACAATTACATGATCAGAGGCTTCTTCTTTTATGGAAATTATGATGGCCAGAATAAACCTCCCGCGTTTGATGTATACCTAGGAGTGAATTATTGGCTGACCGTAAACTTCAGCGACGACACAACATTTTATTCCGATGAAATCATCCAATTTTTGTGGACCGATACAATAAATGTCTGCTTGCTGAATACTGATTTTGGTATTCCAATCATTTCTGGATTGGAACTTCGGTTTTTGAACAACTCTATTTACCAGATTGAATCAAAATCAAAAGTACTCCGAGCCGTGCGTTATGACATGATCACTAACA